AATGAGTCAAGTATATACTGTATTAGAAGGCATGGGTGCCAGAGAGAAGCAGGAGTGAAAGGTGATGGAGCCAGGGAAGGGCCAACAAGAAGACTGGAAGCATTCAAGACAATATAGTGCCAGCACTACCACTGTGATGGTGTGAGATTTGTAGGAAACTCTGACTGATCATGTCCCTCTAGGGCTCAGTTTCCTCATCCAAAGCTACACAGGAATGGTGTTTTTGGTATCGCCTGAGGAAGATAATAATCCTGATGTCCAGGCCCACTGGGTCAAAATCTCCCAAACTGAGGGAGACTGTAAATAGTTCCTTGTCCACTGAAGTGTTTGGGGACTCAGACATGTGTGGTTCTTATACAGGAGGGAGGCCTGAGCCTCCCCACCTCACCTCTCACCCACTCCCTTGCAGGGTCTGGAGATTGTGAACCCACAAGCAGCTGAGAAGAAGGTGGCAGAGGCCAACCAGAAGTATTTCTCTAGCATGGCTGAGTTCCTCAAGGTCAAGGGTGAGAAGAGCGGCACCATGTCCACTTGAGGGGGAACCCACACCCCAGGTGGCCACCCACTGGAAGGACATGAAGGATTGGAACTTCTGAAGCGATGGACATCCAGCCAGGAAGTTGTGGAGGAGGCAGCCTGCCCTGCTCTGTTCTTGGCCCAAGGCCACAGCATCCAAGGAAAAGGGTGAAACACCATGATCTGCCTCTCCCAGCACCCAGACTGCTGCTACCCCAAATGGGTGGAGGAATTCCTTGCACTCATCTTTTTTACTTACATGGGGAAAGGAAGTGGTTTTTTTAGAAAGAGTACAATTAAATGCACAGTGTCAGGCTCTGACCAGAGGGTGTGATTATTTGTGAAAGACCCAGAGGAGTCAGAGCTGTGGCATTTCCAGTCCAGGTAGCATGGACCCAGCTGTCTTCTGCTCTTGTCCTGGAATCTAAGAAGATAAAAACCCTGTCCATTTTTGACATCACCACCCACCCCCTGAGAACTTCAACATCATGGCTAAATAGTATGGCCACCACAAAGCTCCAGGGCCCATAGAATTATTGTTCCTCTGGCTAGAAACCTTGGTCCAAGATCCACATCTGTACTGTGAGGCGCCTAAGCGATCTGGGAAGTACGTGCAGAAAGCACCTAGGATTGGCCTTATGGGGGAGCCAGTTGTTTTATTCCACGATTAATGAGGGGACCATGCCTGAGTCCTCAGCAAGAGTGTGGCAGATGGGTACTCTGCCCTGGGAGGCACCAATGCCAGATACGCAAAAGAAGTGCCCACTACCCAGTCTGACTCTAGAACTAATGCTCAGCCAAGGGAAAAAAATAGAATAGGGTGGACCATCTTTGGTGTGTTATGAATTTAGTTCTGCAGAAGGTAAGGGAGAGTCGCAGCTGACCTCCATTTTCTCAGCTTGAGCTTAACTCGGTCTGAACATGGACCAGCTACTGAAGTAGGACTTCTCTTACTCATTGTTTGGCAGGTCTGTCTTGGGCTTCCTGGTCCACATTCCTCTGGGCCCTCACCTGTCTCCCCACTCTCTATCTTGATCCCAATCCCCTGTGGACCTGCTAGGGATAGCATTTTGTCCATCACTTTCTTTAGAATCCCTGCTCCGTCCCTGTCTGACTTGCATCTGACGTTGCCAGTGGTGAGTGGAATGGAATAGGAAGATGTGAGTCTCAGAATTCAACATCCTGCTGAATGCCTTGAGGGCTCTCTAACACATGGTTGCTAGTTCCAGAGTCTGATTCAGTTTTGCTAAGATAGAGCTCAAAAACATGTATTTCAGCCTGTAATCCTAGCTACTCAGGTAGGTTAGATGTTCAAAGCTACCTGGGCTACACAGTGAGTTCAAGGCCAGTCTGGCTTTGAAAAATTCTGTGTCCAAAAAAAAGAAGAAATTTAAGTTGGGAAAAAGTTTGGAGAGAGCACTTTTGGTAAAGTGCCTCTCATAAAAAGCATAAAAACCAGGGGAGGTGGATCTCTGTGAGTCTGAAGTCAGCCTGGTCTACAGATCGAGTTCCAGGACAGCCAGAACTATACAGAGAAACCCTGTCTAAAAAAAAACAAAAGCCAGAACCAGCATAAGAACCTGAGTTCAGTACTCAACATCCATATAAAAAGCCAAGAATGGTAGCATGTGTTTGCCATTTCAATGCTGAGCAGGTGGATCACTGGGGCATGCTACCAGTCATCAGATGAGTGACCTATCTTTAAGAAAAAAGAAAGAAAAAAGAGGTAATCTGGCCTTCATAAACACCTACACACAATACATTTATATGTACACACAATTTCAGAAAAGGGAGTTGGCTGAAGAGATTTCTCAGTGGTTAACATTGGCTGTTCTTCCAGAGAAAAGTTTGAATCCCAGTACCCATATAGCAGCCTACAGTGGTCTATAATTCCAATCCCAGAAGATATGACATCCTTTTCTGGTTTCCCTGGGCACCAGGCACACTTGTTTTGCACAGACATACATGTAGGCTACACACCCATACATACACAATAAATGTCTCTAGAGGGCCAGGAATGCAGTGGTTCACCTCAGGGTGCTTGCCTAGCTGTGTCAAGACCCTGCCTCAAAATATATTTTTAAAAGCTGCTGGGTGTGGTGGCGTACACCTTCAGTCCCAACACTCCCAGACAGAAACCAGATTTATGTGAGTTGGAGGTCAGCCTAATCTACACCATGAGTTTCAAGGCTTACATAAGATCCTTTAAAAAGCTGGGACGTGGTGGTAGATACCTGTAATCCCAGTACTTGGGAAATGAAAGCTGGAGGACCAGGAGTTCAAGGTTATCCTCTGCTACAAAGCTAGTTCTAGTCCAGCCTGTCCTATATGAAACCCTGCCAAAAATGAGGTGAGAGGCAACTGGGGGAATAGTTCGATAGTAGGGTGCTTTCCTCTTGTGTGAAGCCCTGGGTTCAAATCTCCCTAATGTGAAAGAGAAAAGTGCGGTTCCATGTGCTATTGATGGTACTGATTAAAGAATTAAGCTCTGAGGTGAGTGGTTTCTACATTAGCTGCACGTTGGAATTATCTCAGGAAGAATGATAGCTCGTTCTTATATCCAGAGGTTGATGTAATTTTTCTAGCATGACCCTGGGTATTTGGACACACACACACACACACAACTTCCCAGGTGATTCTAAAGTGCAACTAAGCCTGAGAATCAAAACTCTGTTCTTGAGGTCATCAGCATGCCATGAGAGCTTGTTAGAAAAAGCAGAATTGGGGACCACCTAGATAAGCTGCATCTTAACAAACACATACGGGCTTCCTGATAAGGCTAGAAGCAGCTCCATATTCAGGGCCTACACAGAATAACTAAGCTGTACATGAATAACAAACTTGAAAGAGTATCGTATGCGGGTGTTAGAAAAATCTGGATGAATACAAGTTCCTAGATTTCACTTTCTTAAGTCTACATGACCCTAAAAATGTGCATTTTAAAAAAAAAAAACTTATGTGAATGTGTTAGAATAAGTGCACCAGCAGCGGTCAGGTGAAGGAGTCATCATACACAGGCATGTGAGCCAACGTGTGGGCGCTGGGAACAGAATCCCGAGTCTTCTGCAGAAAAGTGTGTCTTAACTGCCGAGCCATCTCTCCAGCAGAATACACTTTTTATAGGCCATTTCTTCCTCTCGCTTCATGCCATTCTGAGGGGGTGTCCACATTCTCCTCAAGTTTGATTTATTTTACTTTCCTTCACCTAGGTAGGAAGAGATAAACCTGGCTTCCCAATTCATGAAAATGTGGTGCTCAAAAAGTTTTCAACGTAAGTCATTGCTCGGACTCATCATCTACTAATTCAGCCAAAGGCTACAGAGTGCTTTGTAAGTGTCAGACACTGAGAAATCCAGAGAGGGAGTCCCAGTAAGTTTTTTTTTCTTAATCAGAATTTGAACAAAATTTAAGAGGCTCACCTAAGCACTCTACAAGGGTGGTCAGGGAAGTTTACTCCCTAAGAGAAGGATCCTAACAGTTCCAATAAGCAGCCGTTACAGATATAACTGAAGTATGGTAAAGCGCAGTTTCTTCTGCAGCTTCTGCAGCAACAGATTCCTTGCAATACCAAATGAATGGAGATAGAGGAGAGTGTACCGCAGTCGGCTTGCTCAGTTAACGAGGCAGGACAGTCCCGGGCAGACACTTTCTCAGTCACTTCTGCCATGCATGGTGCTAGTTGTGTCTGATTCTGCCTTTCCTTCTTCCATCCAGAAAGCACTGAGTTTTAGAGATATGCCAAGCATAGGCACTTGGGAAGCTATTAATGAGGATCAGAAAACAGCCTGGATGCCAGGAATAGGAAAGGATGCTCTGAGAACCACACCAGTCGGCAGCACCCTCGGTTAATAGCTACCCTATTGGCCAAACTGGAAATGGGAGGGGCCTGCCCATCTAGCTCCGCCCCTTAGGTTTGGCGGCTCTTTTGATTGGCAGATAACTTGGGCTTAACGCCTCCTCCCAACCCCAGTCACCTGTCCGTCTCCCGCTAGGTAAGTGGCCTTTAACACCCACTCTCCATGCCTTCCGTCGTTTTCCCCTACCCACTCCCATGACCAACCAATAAATTCGAGGCAGACTATACGTCGCAACCAATTACAGCTGCCTTCAAACTTGACGGACGACTTCCCGCCCCTCACCCTGACTCCTCCCTGCAACCAATTGATTTAGGAGAAGGGGGCGGACGCATCCAATCAGCACGACACAGGCCTCCTGATTGACACTCAGGCCCTCGCGCTGGCGTGTTGTGCTCTGAGGCGGGGAGGAGGAGGAGGAGCCGGGAAGGAAAACCTGAGCCAATCCAAGACAGCTGAGCGGGAGGCCAATCGAACGCCGCGCCCTGCAGAGATCAGCCAATCCTAGCGAGGGGGCCGGCCGCATCCTCTCTAGGAACCAATGGGACGCGACTGACGGCCCAGAGCGACGTGCTGCAGGAGCAATGACGGACCTATATTCGGGGCTCGGGGGCGGGCCGGCGCCAGAGACGAGAAGAGCGGAGGGGAGGCCTCCTCCGTCGCCGCCATCTTGGACCGGGCCCGTTCAGCTTCCGTGGAGCCGTCGGCAGCCGCCGCCGGGCCTTCCCTTGAGCCCCGAATCCCCTACTCGGTCGTCTAGAACAATCCCGGGCCCACTTCCTCTATCAACAACCCAACCCCACTTCCGGCTTTCGCGCCCTCTTATCGCGATAGCGCCCGGGCTTGGGGCGCGAGGAAAAGGAAAAAAAAAAAGGCGGCTGGCGGGCGCTCGCCTCTGTCTCCCCCCTCCTCGCCTGTCGCGATACGCTCCGCAGCGGCGGCGCCAGCTCCTGCGGTGAGAGCGTCAGGCTCGACTGGGCCGGACCCCTTCCCCTCTTCCCCCAGCGTCGTCGGCCGCCTTCCCGCTCCGCGACCCCTCCGCGTGTCGCGACCCGCCAACAACTGGCCCTGCCCTGGCCT